CTGCAAGAAGCGAGGTAGTTACGGTACCGACCAGCCCTATTAGACGTACTACGAAGTACACTCGGTCTCGTATAACGTATATCAAACAAGCATACTAGCATGGCACAACAAATGTCATACAGTCATACAATATGTATAACAATCATACATACAGTCATACAAATGTCAAAAATTCTGAAGAATATCATAGTGCTAATGCTGTATGATCGCTAACCCATATTGGGCGACAAACTCCACACATAACGAGTGCAATGTAATTATACATTTGTAATATAGATCTTCCTCTTAATCTGTTGCAGGCAGCCGTTATAATGCCATTATTAACTATGATCCCTCCAAAATATGCCTATTAACTCACGATAATTAGCAAAATTATTAATTGTGAAAAGCTTCTGTATTAGGAATATCAAAAGCTTCCGTTGAAAGCATACTCGAAAACGCAGTACAATACTAAAATTTAATTATACTAGAACTATACTTTACTTAAAGCACAAACTATACTATATACTGAAATGTGTATAAACATTGTTAAACTGACGAACAGTATTACCTGGAGCCTGGTTAACACCCTTTATGGTCTCTGTAATCCTATTGCGCTGTCCCTCACAGTAAAGTATGGGGTGCACAATAAACTACCGCTCACAGGAGAGTATGGGGTGCACATTAAACTGCTGCTCACAGGAGAGTATGGGGTGCACATTAAACTACTGCTCACAGGAGAGTATGGGGTGCATAATAAAAAACTGCTTACTGTAGAGTATAGGATACAAACTAAACAAGCCGCCGCTGGCAACATCGATCAATATCAACCTCTCCCTTGGCTATGGTATAGTCTCATCAACAGGCGAAAATGAAATCTGCTGACTCTGCTGTCAGGGCAGACTCAGTCGTGGAGGATACTCGCGGAGGGAAGTTTTTGAAGGCTGCAGCAGACCTGCTGATTGACTAGTTGTCCGGAGGAAGTCCTATAAGGCGGACGAAAACACATGTGAATGGAATTTATGAAGCATATTTACTGTGTGTACAAGTTGGGTCATGGACTGAAAGTTGTGTTTGAGATTTCTAAATTGTCTCTAGTATGGCTGCTGTTACGGGGATTCACGACCCTTGTAAGGTCGTTTATAGGGGTCATGTCTACAATAAGGTCGATTTTAGGGGTCCTCGTCTATACTAAGGTCGATTTTAGGGGTCATGTCTACAATAAGGTCGATTTTAGGGATCCTCGTCTATAATAAGGTCGATTTAAGGGGTCATGTCTACAATAAGGTCGATTTTAGGGGTTCTCGTCTATACTAAGGTCGATTTTAGGGCTCATGTCTACAATAAGGTCGATTTTAGGGGTTCTCGTCTATACTAAGGTCGATTTTAGGGCTCATGTCTACAATAAGGTCGATTTTAGGGGTTCTCGTCTATACTTAGGTCGGTTTTAGGGGGTTCATGTCTATTCCAAGATCGATTTTAGGGTTTTTCGTCTACACTAAGGGTGATTTTAGTGGTTTTCGCCTATACTAAGGTCGAATTTAGGGGTTCATATTTATTCTAAGGTCGATTTTAGGATTCATGTCTAAGGTAAATTTTAGGGTTCGTATCTACACTAAGGTCGATTTTATGGGTTCATGTCTTTACTAAGATCGATTTTAGTGATTCTCGTGTTTACTAAGGTCAATTTTTGGGGTTCTAGTCTACACAAAGGTGGATATTAGGAGTTCACAACTATGCAGAGGTCGATTTTATTGGTTCACATCTATTCTAAGGTCGAAATTAGAAGTTCACTCGTATAGTGAAGTCGATTTTAATCGATCTTTACCTTAATAAGGTTCACTTGAAGTGTTCACGTCTTATTAAGGTTGATTTTAGAGGATCAGGTCCTTATAATGAGGTTGACTTCAGGGGTTCATATCCTTATTAAGGTCGACCTTAGGTGTTCGCGTCACTGTTAACGGTCACTGTAGGTGGTTACGTAATATCTATCTGTGTCTAAGAAAGTGAGGACAAGCTATTTATACTTCGCCTACTAAATACGCAACACACCCAGCATTAATAAATATAAACAGCATCCTAGAACATAACCAGCATCCCTGAATAGTAGTAGTAGGCATCCATCAGTCTCAGGAGACTATGGAGTTGCGCTCTGGTTGTCGGTCTGGAGTGGCCTCACCAGGGCGCAAAGTCAGGGTAGGTTGATTCGGGGGAGAAGCTGTTACCCAGGCTTTTATCCCTGAATACAAGCCGCATTATTGAACATAAGCAGTATTATTAAACATAAGCAGTACTATTGAACACAATCAACATCACTGAACATAAGCAGCATCCCAGAACACAATCAGCATCCCTGAACACACTCGGCATCCCTCTACAAACGAACATTCCTGAAAACATGCATACCCCCTTGAACACACTCAATACCCTTGATCAAACGCACCCTCCCAATGGAAATGCAGAAAATACGACCCTCTGTTCAACTCACATAGTTGATTAGTGTCGTTCTCGTGGGAGATATTGGACAAAACTTTGATCGTTTTGAGGCCGGAACACACTCGAGACACTGGGGATAATATTGTGCTTTTCCATCGCACAGAGGTGGGTTCCTTTGTTGTATGGGATGACAATATTTGAGTATATTTTTGTCACAAAGTATTGCCAGTATTTAGCAAGATCGCTGAATCCGATCTGCGTTTCAAGAACCATCTGGGTATTTTTAAACTGAACTGAAGTTTGAGCCATTCTGAGTTTCTGAAGCTCATCACAACACCGATGATTATTTATTCAGTCATTTGACTGGAATCTGGATGTTTTCTCACAGGAGAATATTTAAGAATTTAGTCAATCGACCACATAGAAGCTTCAGCACACAGAGAATCCAGTTTCACGCTGTGTCTATTATGAAAGTTGCCTGACTCTGAAATAAGAATATATGTATATAGAACTGGAAGGGATATTTGGCATTGCTGGAAAGCCTCATCTTCACTACACCCCACCAACATCACTGTAACCCATCTTCACTACACCCCCCCCAACATCACTGTAACCATCTTCACTACACCACCAACATCACTGTTAACCATCTTCACTATTTACGCTCACAAAAATACAAGTCACAGTGAGAGGAGACCTAAGATTGCCTGGATATTACCACTGGCGTTTAACAACCTTCGGTACCGGGGCCAATCATATTCGTAATCAATGTAAACGACCTACTAGATAGAGCAGAGTCCTTCCTCTAAATGTTCGATACTTATACAAAAAATTCTGAAGATATATATTATGGAAGATTGCAAGATACTGTTACGTGATTTAGACAAACTGGAAGAATGATTCAGCAAGTGACGACTTGAATTTAACTCAAGTATATCCAATGTAATAAGGCTGAGTATCTTCTTGAGGTTATCTTGAGATGATTTCGGGGTTTTTTAGTGTCCCCGCGGCCCGGTCATCGACCAGGTCTCCACCCCCAGGAAGCAGCCCGTGACAGCTGACTAACACCCAGGTACCTATTTTACTGCTAGGTAACAAGGGCATAGGGTGAAAGAAACTCTGCTCATTGTTTCTCGCCGGCGCCCGGGATCGAACCCGGGACCACAGAATCACAATTCCAAGGATATGTTACATCGATATCCAAAAACTTACGAACGGTTTTTCCAAGTGCTATATATAGTCGCAATGGCTTTGTGATTTCTCCTGATAATTTTGATCCTGATATATCCTGATATATCATGATATAAATCCTGATGTATATATCATGATATATTTTTTCCCCTTTTTACACATAAATACATTAAATAATTTATTATGGAACGCGAAATGACAGGGTAAGAACCAGGTGTGAGACAGGGTAAGATCAACAGGTGAGACAGAAGCGACAGATCAACAGGTGAGACAGAGGTGACAGATCAACAGATGAGACAGAGGTGACAGGTCAACAGATGAGACAGAGGTGACAGGTCAACAGGTATAAGCTCAACGCCGCTGGGTATTATCAGTTATCGCAGAACCCAAATAGCAGGGCAATTCCCCGTAGCTGCAGGCATCTGGCGCCTTTAATGGGGACTGATAGTCATAAACGGGACGAGGACGCCTTCCATACCTCCCGAGTGACAAAAATCGCTCCCGAGGGACAAAAATCGCTCCTGCGGGACAAAAATCGCTCCTGAGGGACAACAATTGCTCCCGAAGGACAAAAATAGCTCCTGAGGGACAAAAATCGCTCCTGAGGGACAAAAATCGCTCCTGAGGGACAACAATCGCTCCCGAGGGGCAAAAATCGCTCCTGAGGGACAAAAATCGCTCCTGCGGGACAAAAATCGCTCCTGAGGGACAAAAATCGCTCCTGAGGGACAAAAATCGCTCCTGAGGGACAAAAATCGCTCCTGAGGGACAAAAATCGCTCCTGAGGGACAACAATCGCTCCTGAGGCATCATTCAAGACTCTCTACCAGCCTCAGTCAGGAATGTTAGCGGGTAGTATGACTGTATAGAGCAAGGGGGTGATGGATGCTGGTTGTCTCCGCTTCTCTCAGGGGAGAGAGGGTGGTTGGTGTGGCTTGGTGGTCGTGTGGGTGGAGGGGGAGAGGGGTGTGGCTTGGTCGTGTGGGTGGAGGGGAAGAGGGGGTGTGGCTTGGTCGTGTGGGTGGAGGGGAGACGGGTAGGGTGTGGCTTGGTCGTGTGGGTAGGGAGCGTGGGAGACGGCTTAGACTTGTGGGTGGAGAGGAGAGGGGGGGGGGATATGGCTTGGTCGTGTGGATGAGGAGATGGCTTAGGCTTGTGACTAGGGATACGGTCGAGGCTGTTGGGCTTGTGGGTATGGTCATGGGGGGGGGGCTTGGGCTTGTGGGTGCAGGGGTGAGAGGGGGGTGTGGCATGTTTGTGTGGGTGGGGAGCTAGGGAGACGGCTTAGGCTTGTGGGTGGGGATACGGTCGGGGGCTGCTGGCTTGTGGGTATGATCATGAGGGGCTTGGGCTTGTGGGTGTAAGGGGGGTGGGGGGTGTGGCCCGGCAGGTGAGGGCGCGGGTCTGGCTCAGTGCTGGCCGCGTCGCCTCGTCGTCTACATCACACACGTCGCTCCCTCGCCCTAGCCGCGGCGCCGCTGGCTGGGACTGCTGCGGCCGCCCTCACTCTCCTGAGCATGACCTGGGATGACCGCACTCCAGCCCGACCCACGAGAGGTCAGTTGCCAGCAAGCCCGAGGTGCCCTCAAGCCGGGTTGTGGTGGGAAGCCACCTACCCGGTGACCTAGGATGCCCTAAGCCAGTTAGGTCACATCCGGGCATTAACACTCATCAAAAGTTGTGGAGAAAACTTTCAAAAAGTTTATATCTATCGACCTTTTGGATTTACCTCTTCAGCGGTGACGAGGCAATAGTGATGACCTGGAAACTATCGACTTGACCCGCCTCGGGTCAGGCGGGCAGGTGGTGGGGGGCGCGGGATGAAGCGTCGTCTTGGGCACGACTTCGGGAGGCTCTCTGGCACCCTCAGGAGGCTCTGTGGCACCCTCAGGCTGCTCCTCCCGCGCTGGCTTCTCACGATGCCAAGCGGGCAGCGCCTGTAGAAGCCTCAGGGACCTCCTGTGTAATGTGCGCACCGCGACCCTTCGAGACATGCTGGCCGTCATCGGGCAATTAACCCAATGCTGCAATTTTTATAATCGATAACAAGATATAATTTTTGTAGTCGTAGCAATGGTTGGTAGTGCGTACGATGGAGGATTGTGGTGGTGGTGGTGGTGGAGATGGTGGTGCTGGGCGGCGGTGCTGACTGCCGCCCTAGGACGCTCTGAAGCCTTCAGCAGCACCTACTCAGTATCAGGCTTCAGCAAGAACGTCACCAACCTTCTGGACAGTCTCCTGGCCGACTACGACCGCATGATCAGGCCTGGACACGGAGGTGAGTACTCTGCAACGCGCTGTCATACCCGTACAGTATCCTGAAGTGCACCCATAACTGACAGATAAATTGAGTAAACAAGCATGAAACTTAAAAGCAGAAACGTGTGAGAATAAATATGTATATACGAATATTGCCTTTTAATATACATTTACCCTATTACCAGATTTACAAAAGGAAATATGGTTTTATTTAAGGAAAATTTTCCACATGTAAAATATAAGAACTTAACACAAGAATGCTTCCACCACACACGTAAGAGCGTCAGTCATTTGTTACAATGGTAAGGATATTCATTACATTATCAAGCGTTACATTATTAAGCGTTATGAGGCTAAACTCTGTCATACCTGGGAGTACCTGCACGTTGGACAGCTGCTACGGTCGGCTTCCTGGGGGATGTGTGTGTGTTAGAGAGAAATATATGTACAAGACAATATATAAAGGAAAAATAGATTGGTTAGAAAAGCGGGGTCCAAGAATAAATAGCTCGATTCTGCAGGCACATATAGTAAGGAAAAATGGTAAATATACTTACACACTCACACGAACTTAGTATCCAAATGAGCGATAGGAAGGTTGAAATCACTTTTTCAATGTCATTGTTAACAAATGGAATGCATTTGGACGTGATGTGGTGGAGGCAGACTACATACACAGTTTTAAATGCAGAGATGATAGAGACCAATAAGCTCAGGAACCTGTACACCAATTGATTGACAGTTGAGAACCGGGACCAAAAAACCGAAGCTCAACCCCCGCAAGCACAGCTAGGTGAAGACATACCCTACCTTGGAGTACATCACAGTGCGCATTGTCGGGAACACGTCCTGTGACTAGTGATGCCTCATAATAGACTTGTTATACATTGTGTGACCTGTGACCTCATGTACGGCTGACCAAAACCCCCCCCCCTACACCTCCCCCCCCCCTTACCAAAAACAAAAATATTGCCGGTAAATTTAAAAACGCAGCTCTTCTCTCCAGAAGATTTAGAATCACTATTGCTTTCCAATACCGATCACAATTTCTTTTTGGTATAATGACCTCCGTTAAACCTTTATAAATGTAAAATACTATTACGTATTAACAGTGTTCATTAAGATGGCTGGTAATATGTGACCTAGGTAACACAGCGTATTATTGGCTCTATGTGATTTACAGTGTATACCTGCGTATGTGATTTACAGTGTATACCTGCGTATGTGATTTACAGTGTATACCTGCGTATGTGATTTACAGTGTATACCTGCGAATGTGATTTACAGTGTATTCCTACGAATACTCCACTGTATCAGGTTTCATGTGTAATTTATAAAGTAAAAAATATTATTACTATTATTGAGAAAATCAGTAGAAGCCATGAGGAGGACTCGACACATGCTCTGGACTCTAGAATTTTAGACTCAGACAAACGCTCTATAATTCCTAGACTTCACGCCAGAGGAGGGGGGGGGAGGTATGGTGTTGAGCCCTGATTAGGCTTCAGGTGAAGCCTGCATTCCGTCTGAACATGTCTTTCCTTTTCAAGGTTTTTACCGATGAAGTTAAATTTAATTTCTGAGTATTTAACATATCTTCAGATTTCAGTACTTCTTCATTACTCTCGAATTACTATCATTATCATTATCATTCTCGTCATCCTTATTATCACATTACTAATGAGACCATTTAGCTGCCTTCAATCGCAATGGTAATTTTAGCAATGCTTGATTATCATTTTAATAATGTACTCATTTTTTTTCTTTCAACGATCAATTCACTTTTCAATGTATATATTTTTCTTCCACGATACTCGCGTTCTGTGCTTTGAAAGATATTGCGTCATATGTTGATACGTATTTCTCCTCGTATATTCCAAGCCATGTCCGCTCTATAAACTATTTCAATACAATTTGGTTAAGGAAATATTTCACAATTTCGAGAGATAAGAGTTTCTGCTGGAAAAGCGAACTTCAAGATTTTCTCGTGTGGGGTTGCTATTCCGGGGAGGGGGTAGAGGGGGGGGTGGGGGGGTGATGGTCGGGGTTGCAGTTAGCGAGGATGTGGCAGCAAAGGCGTAGGGAGGAAAGATTTGGGGAAGGGAGAGGAAATGGGGCTGGGTAGTTCTCTCGTAGCCAAACAATAGCAATTTAACATATATTTACATCTCTCGTTGCCAAACATTAGCAATTTAACATATATTTACATCTCTCGTTGCCAAACATTAGCAATTTAACTTATATTTACATCTCTCGTTTTTATCTATTACCATTTTAAGTCTCTTATCACTTATATTGTATTTTCACAATCGTTCCACTACATGATTTTCCCACAGGTTATACATATGTTTGTTCACCTCAGCATTAGTTATGACCCTGTCACTCTAGTCGAGGAGTACAGTGTAAACAACTGCTTGTCTTTCCGCCTATCAGAGCCAACCACAACATTTTCTCGTTACTCGTGTAGAGGTTACTCTACATTTCTGACTGTCATTTTTTTCAGTTATTATCATTTCACTGATACTGTCCCTAATCATCTGTTATCCTGGGTTCGTTATCCTCCTCCTCTAGCAAAATGAAAATCCTGATCTTTTGGACCACGTTGTCAAAGATTCGATCAATTAAAAATAAATTTGCCCAGAGGGACGAGATTATTGGGCAGCACCTCTCACCCTAAGAGTGAACATACAGCTATAGCAGCATACATAACATTCTCAATTGGAAAAAAACGCTGGGTTCTTCATCCTTTCACTCGTACTTAGACACAGCCTGGGACTTGCTTAATTGTCTTATGTTAACAGCTTATCAAACAAGATGATTAACAGTTGTCATCCCCTAAAATTTACATTATCTTGCTGGTGCAAAATGGGGGGAATCTTTTAAGAACAGTATTTATATTTGACCAATAGTGTTTTCCTAACTTAAACAATGTGGGCTCTATTATTCTACACATTTATAATGTCTCTTAGATGTTCACATTCTCTCAGGTAGTGGTCAAGGCGGTGTCCGTCACTATGGTGACGGTGATGGTCACCACTATGGTGACACTCATCACACATTGTGTAACTCCGCTGCTCAGCTGCATTTTCCATCTGGAATCTCCGTGGATATTTGTATCCAAGATGAATTCTTGCTATTACTGATTATCTTCCATGGCCACATCCCTCCCGTCCATAATGATTCGGATTGCCAGCTGCAACCATATTGTACCAACGTACAGATTCTCTGATTTGTTCTTCTGTCCTCCTTTGCTCAGTTACCTTGTCACAGTGATGTTGCCTTATAATACCTCTAAATTGTAGAAGAGTCTTAGGTATGAAGTATTCAATATGGTCTCTATCAACGCCCTCATTAGCTAACACATCTACTCGTTCAGTTCCACAGATTCCAACATGGGAGGGAATCCACAGGAATTTGATAACTCTTCCTTGATTGGTTAGTACTCTCACAGCTCTCTTCATTTCAGCGATTATCGCAAGATTTGATCAACTCTTGGACATGTGTGTCATGTCCTTGGTTGAACTCCTGCAACCATGAGTATCACCCAAAGACTGCTGATGCAGAAAGCAGTACACGGCCGATATGACAGTGTTAGGCCCCGAGGGACACAGATGAAGCGTGCCAGGTCGTAAAACCTCGAATAATCCTGCATAATTCGTGAAGTAGGTTGGCAGCTCTAGAGAGTTAGCTTGAGGGAGGCGACGCTTGATAGAGTGCGTGGGTGGCATAGAGTGCCGGATGGGGTAGGGGTACTGGCGGGACCTGGTGTGGGTGGGAGCCGGATGGGGTAGGGGTACTGGTTTGTTATGGTGTCGAGATGGGAGTCAACGGTGAGAAAGACATGGTATAAGAACTAATAGCTCGAATCTGCAGACACAAAAAGTGAACACACACGCACACACACACTCTCTCTCTTACACACACACACTATGTGTGTGTGTGTGAGTTCCACACACACTTAATGTATGGAATGCATTAGGAAGTGATGTGGTGCAGGCTGACTCCATACATAGTTTCAAGTGTAGATATGATAGAGTCCAATAGGCTCAGGAATCTGTACACCTGTTGATTGATGGTTGAGAGGCGGGACCAATGAGCCAGAGCTCAACCCCAGCAAACACAACTAGGTGAGTACACACACACACCCCAACAGGGACAGGGACAAAATGAACAGAACTAAAATCAATCAAATTGGAAACTTTGTTCATAAATAATTATTCCCTGAGTTTACACATTACTGATGTAAAAAAAAAACTGTCTGTGAATAAAACATAATACCAGCATAACATAAAATCATTATTATTATAAAGCGTGAGAAAGTCAGTAGGTGGCATGAGGAGGACTCGAACCTGCACACTGGGTACTCACAAGCACACGCCTTAAACCACTGGACCACAATGTGCTACAAAAGTATTGTAATCTACGACTGGACTTGAACTGAATCCTCTAGAGTGTATGCGAATAATGTGTGAAGCCCTTCTTTGGTGTCAGTTGGACGCCTCGGGAACCCTAGAGGATTCAGTTGAATCCCAGGTATCATTACATTTATAGCATATTGCTGGTGAGTAGCTGGCAGTCAAGGTTTACCTCTTCCCCGTCGGCTTGGGAGAGGCCTGTGTTGTTGCTGGCCTACTGAGTGGGATCCTCCTTTGAGATATATACAAGAGTTGTTACATTCTTGTACAGCCACTAGTACGCGTAGCGTTTCGGGCAGGTCCCTGGAATACGATCCCCGCCGCGAAGAATCGTTGTTACAACCAAGTACACATTTTACTGTTGCTTTAAACAGAGGCTACAGTTAAGGACTTGCGCCCAGTAAATCCTCCCCGGCCAGTATACGAACCCATGACAAAGCGCTCGCGGAACGCCAGGTGAGTGTCTTACCACTACACCACGGAGACTCCTCCGTGTAGAGCAAGGACCCTCTATCTATCTCAATGTACAACTGCCCGAGTATTTAAAGAGGGAAACAGGAGCTAAGCCCCGCCTACCAGGAGACAGCCTATGGGTATCTTCCTG